TGCACTACCTGCACAGCAAGTCCCTCGTGCACAACGACATCAAGCCCGCCAACATCCTCTACTCGCCCTCCCGCGGCGCCGTCCTCTGCGACTTTGGCCTCTCCACGCACACCTCGGGGCCGGTGACCACGGGCGGCACGCCGTACTACATCCCGCCCGAGTTCATCGGCAAGAAACTCCGCGGGCCGCCGTCGGACGTGTGGGCGCTGGGGGTGACGATGCTGTACGTGCTGGGCAAGATCCCGTTCCCGGACGCGCGCAGCCGCAAGGGCGCCGGCGGCGCGCAGATGGGCGGGCGCCCGCTGTACTGGATGATCGCGGACGTGAACCGCACGATGGCGCCGCCGCCGATGGGCACGCGGCCGCCGTGCGCGGCGGTGGATATGATGTACATCTGGCTGAGCGAGGTCGCGCAGGCGAGGGAGAAGCTGTACCCGCGCGACAGGCTGGAGAGGCTGGTGAGTGATATGTTGATCCCGCTGCCGAGCCAGCGGATTACGATGGCGCGCGTGATGAGGGAGCTGTTCCTTGTGGAGCAGAGCGCTGTCAAGAGGTGATGATGTGAGGTTTGGTTTTGCATTGGATTTAATACCTGTGTTTTTTTGTTTGACGAGATGGATGTTTTGCGAGAGATACCACTGATGTTGGGCATTTGTTTTCATTTCTTTGTTGGTTTTTGCATCGAGTAAGTCGTTGTTGTCTTTACATGGTCTTGTCGTCGTTGACGTGAACCAGACTTGCATTTTTCTGCATCATACACTGTTGCGCACATCTCATATACCATATACAACCAGCATATTGCATCATTAGGATATTTCCTCCTTGTTTTTATTTTCATCCACGGTGGGCGGATGGATGGAGGGGCTGGTATCAAGGCATACAACTCATGTACATTAGAAAGGGTCGTCACGCACACGCCCACGCATATAACACAACACAACACATTTCTCATGCTCTCTCGTGATGTCCCCCCTTCACGTCACAATCTGTCCCCCTACCCGTCGCATCACATCCTTACAAACTCATCCCAAACACGAAGGCCATGCTCAGACCGACGATGGACGTCAGCGCAACCGCGTGAGAACTACGTCCCGCTGCGCCACTGCTGCCGCCGCCGCCGGAGGTCGAGTTGCCGCTGCTGTTCCCGCTGCCGCTGCCCTCCTCGACGGTGCCGTTGGCGCTCTGCTCCTTGACGGTGTACACCTCCACGCCCTCCGTCTTGCACTGGTCCAAGGGGAGCGTGGTCGCGTTAGCCGTGAAGCGGATGTCGGCGCACTATTTCCCATCGTCAGCTTAAGCTCCCCCCCTCCCATTTCTCCAGTTCCAAGAGCACCAGAACCCAGGGGAAATGTGGAAAACAGAGGATAGCTCACGTTGTAAAGGCCAGCCCCGGCGTCGCCCACCGTCACCACCTGGATACTCCCCTTCTGCCCCTCCTTCGCGGGCGTCGTGAGGTTGAGCTTCTCGACGCAGAGCACGCCGCTGCCGGTGGCGTTCCAGAACTGCGGGGTCAGCGTGATGTTGTGCGTGGTCACGTTGCCGTCGGCCTCGATGCCGAGGTTGATGAAGACGTAGGTCCAGTCGTGGTGCAGGTCGAGCTCGAGGGAGCCGCCGTCGAGGGGCCAGTCAGTGACGTTGCCGGTGCCGTAGGGGACGCCGGCGCCTTTGGGATGTGTTAGGACTGCGGGATACGAAGGAAGCGCGTTTTGATGGAAGGAAAGGAATGGGAGGAGAGGGGGGAGTGGGTTGGAGCTGGGTGAGGAAACGTACATGGGTACAACCACTGCGAATATCCAGTCTCGTTCGTGCCCTTGAGGGTGTCGGCTCTCCAGGAGGGGTAGGCGAGGCCGAAGTGCGCGGCGGCCAGGTTTGCGGCACCGAGGGCGAGGAGGAGGGTCTTGGGGGCCATTTTTTGTTTTTGGGTCCTGCTGATCTGCGTGTGGGGATGGTGAAGGTTAAGTTTGTTCAGCGGGTCGGTTGATGGGACAAGATCTTGCCAAGACTGGGGATTCGAGAGTGTGCGATGCCACACCGAGAGGCAGAGGCACTCGCGGTTATATATACCCTTCCAACATTACCTAGCTGCTTGTTTGCATGTGTTGTAACCCCCGCAGAGGAGCGAGCATGCAGATTTCGCTCTAAAATGTTTTAGCTTATCCTTCCCATTGGGAAAGGTAAGGTAGGCACGGCAAGGATGGGAGCTGTTGCTGCCCTTTGGGATGTGGTTGGCAGACAAGAAGTCGGGCTGGCCAGCTGCGAGAAACCTGCGCAGGAAAGAACGCCACAACGAAACGAAAGAGCAGACCTATGGCAGCGTGCCATCTCTGCTGGGTTCGGCAACACGTCTAGACCGGGCTCGCATGCCTGCTTCACTGGGAGAGACGCTGTAACGGGAAGGTGAGCCAATCTCAGCCGCCAATTGAGCAAGTTTTTCTTATTTGCTGCTAGCGACGAGCTCCGCGACTAAGCTTAACGACCAACGGGATGTTGGCAGCTGCGTTGAGCTTACATGGATGGGCTTGAGGTCGGAGAGAGGTTCGTGGCGGGTGAGTGTGGTTGGCGCGGCGAATCAGATGGGGCGGGGCGGGGCGGCGGCGTAAGGCGGCGCTAGCGCGGATGCAAGTATCTTGCTCAAACTCACGCAGCACCCGAATTGGGGGTTGCTGCTGCTGCTGGGGAGATGATGGCATGTTTGGATTGGATGGGGGAAAGATGGGAGTTTGAGGAAGGGGGTTGGAATGCGGGAGGAATTGTGTTGCTCTGGCTGCTGTCCTCTCTTTCATGGATAACAATTTCGCCGGTTAGGGTTGATAACCGTTCATGGAGTGCAATAGATTTGGCCCGGGGAACGGATTTAAGGACCGACGAGGCTTGACATCTTGAAGACGGACGCCACAGTAGGTTGCAGGGAGCATAAACAAACCGCGGAGGATGAAATCATGCCCTGGAAGCGTCCATACCTTACAGACGTACACCAATTTAATCTTACAGATGCCATACCATCTTTCGACCGCCTCATCGCCCGCTCCATCCCTGTGATGAACATGGCACGAAAATCTCTGCAAAGCAGCGACCGGCCTGGAGAAAAACCCAACTCGGCCCCTCGCCCCAGACACCACGCGGAGGAAAGTGGGGACCTTGCCGCCGCGCCGAGAACACCCAGAACAGCCCCGAAGCATGTCTCCACCAGCATGATAATGTGGCAAGGTCCAAGGAGAAGGGGAACGTGCGACGTCCAGAGTTTACTTGTTTGGACCCCGCAGGCCGGCTCTTATTTCAACCTCACCTCCATGAAACTTCCGCGGCTTTACACTTTCCGGATATAAGAGTCTTGCTGCCCCCTCCAGCAATTGTACTCCATTATCATTCCGTCTCGTGAGCATTTCCAGTTCCACGCTGACGTCCAGCTGCTCCGCACGGCTAGCAACAGTTGCAGACTGATTATAGGAGGCACACTCGGTAGCGGACTTGATCTTATCTCGTCTTTGAATGTTGGCATCGTCATCGTTCGCTCGCTCAGTCGCGGTAGGAATGCTCTCGTCACTCCCTTCGGTCATAATCCGTAAATTAGGCGTGCTTCCTATCAGCTGAGTCAGCTGCCATCTGCGCCGATGGTTTAGTGGTAAAATTCTCCGTTGCCATCCAGCAGCGTCGGGGAGCCGGGGGTTCGATTCCCCCTCGGCGCAACTTTTTGCCCTCTCTTACGATATTTTCAGGCCGGTGTGTTATTTTTGATTCTCGAGGGATGGAGGTCGTCATGTCGATGTTGGCGATCGGGTGGGATCATTCCAGGGTGAATGTTTTTGGAGACACCTTGCACTACGATTCCTATTGACCGACGGTGGTGACTTGGCAGCCTGTCGTATTGCGCGCAACTCGTTGGCCATCCTCGTACTGGGGTAGTTGGTGTCAGCGTAGGTGAGCCGTCGACGCCCCAGTTACCGCGATCAGTGCTGAGTCTGCGACATCGAAATGCAAGAATAGACGTGCTCAACTCGGGAGCCAACATATCGTGTTCGGGGAAGCTATCTGGGGCAGCTTCAGCCTGCCCATTGAAGGTCTTCTGTCAAGAACAGACGGATATGACGATGATTTGCGTCTCTCGGCGAAAGACCACCATATATCGAGCTCTTTCAACGGCAATGGAGGGGCAGAGACTCGAACCCCGCCGACTGACTCAACGTAGGGCGGCCAATAATTGAGCTTCAATTGCTCGTCCCTCGAGGAGTTGCATCATCTTTTCAAGGAAAACTCGACAACGAGGCATGCGCAATGGCGCGATGGAGGGAAACACGATGGGGAAGCCGCGGCGGCCTCAAGTCACTTTGTATCTTTTTCCTGCAACCAAGTGGGGGCATGTCAGCTTCACCAGCCAATAGTGCCTCTCCCCGCAGGAATCCGCCTACCGTTCAGCCCTGGCTTGCGGAGGGTGCTTGTATGTCTACTTATATGTTGGAACTCAAGATGGTCTACAGATGTCGAAGTGCTCACGATAGAGTGGGAAGTGGTATAGATGGGATAGAACAAAGAAATAACTCAGTATTTGATATAAGTATTAGTATTCAGCCGTTTGAATCGATACAGTGGCTCAACTATTGGCTGAGAAACCGTCTCCGAATCAACAGTGACCTAACATTTAATCCATCCAACAGGTAGACCATCCCACTGCGGACAGCGCACGGGCCACTGAGGCCAAATCGCTGCGCCCCCAGGAAAACGGCACAGGCAGCGCCCATCCAGCCAGTAGGAAAGCTTCTGCCTGAGTCACTGGGTTGTTCAAATCCCCAGGCATCCCTCGCGCATCTCGAATCTGACCTTCTTTCTTTCCTCATCCGACTTATACTTACTCTACCTATCTTCAAACATCGCCTTCATCTTACTATTGCACGCAAGCTTGACATCGATTCGGATCATCGATACAACCCTTTTCAAGCTTTCTTGACCCCCTCCGCCTCAATACCAATGCGCTGGTTGTAGAAGCCGCTTCGCCCGCCGCCAAGATGGCCCTGCACCATGATCCACCGGTCAACGACCGTCTGGACCAATATGATCACGATGGCGATCCTGGCCGACTCGTGCCTGAACCGCCCTGGACTTGCGCTCTCGAGATTGACGAGCGATCCGATTTGACGCGACTGTCTCTGCACATTGGTTGTGCTTCGGACGGATGCGACGAAATGGATTGCTCTACGATCACCGAGAACGACTACTCCGACGACGGGGGATGCCATACTGCACCCTCATGGACATCGCCCGTCGACTCCAACATGCTTCCAATCTTGGGATCGCTTCCGAATATGATGCAGAAGGTAGGCTAACAATTTAGAGAATTCATCAACGCTCTACGAAACGTAGGCGCTAACACACCTACCAGTCTCAGTTGCCTGCACATGCAACGACACGTCGGTACCGGCGGATGTCGTGCTGCAACCCAGACATCAGCGTCAGCTACTTGTCGATGTTTCGACGAGCGGAAGACGCTGCAAGATGTGACGTCGCGACAAGCGACATCGCAAACGTGGACCCTTTCCGCGCCGGCGGAAAAGGTGCCATGATTCAGGGTCGCGAAGATCACAAGCAGGAGACATTTGGCTTGGGATATGATCATCCCCGCGCAGCTTGCGCAGCCATTGCTTGCCAAGACTTCCATATCACGCCTCGGCGCCAGGAAGTCATCGGCATCATGAAGAACCTGTCGGTTGCTGTCTAATATGGTCAAGATGACGCCGGTTATTCGCGCAGGTAAGGCTTCGACTCGACTTACTTTTCTCCCTGTGACATGCGACTAACGCTCGCCCCTAGGTTGGCCAAGGACCTGAGTACGTCGTAAAACTTCTCGAGCGGACATCTAAACTTGATGACTCCAGATCCCACATCGCTCACACACAACCAACGCCATTTGTAAACCGCTACGCTCAGCATATTGCCGAGTCCACCACCATCTACGACCACAGCTACAACCACTTTGACCAGCAACCTTCAGCTTCGCCCACGAAGTTGATCGAAATGTCTGCTGCAACTTCCACAAGAGTTGGCAGACTAGAAGGCGATAACACTACCCACACTGAGATTGACCCCCTCCTCACTACCACCATGGCAGTGACTTCCACCGGCTGGCCCTACGGGGCCCAGCCCGGATGCGCTGCACCCCACGACACAATGGAGAACATGTTCACACAAGGCTCGCCTCTCTCCGAGCTCTACGATTCGCCGGACGAGATGGCCTGGGCCACCTACATCAACGAGGAGATGCTCGCCCCCAGCGACTTCACCATGAACTACCCCTACCCCACGGACACCAGCTCCCCGGAGGACATCATCAGTGACCCTACCGTCCAGTACGACGTCGAGCAGAGCCTCTTCTCCTTCAACGACCCCCTCCCAGACCTCTCGACGTCGTCGGACTACCTCTCGGGCGACCAGCTCTCCGTCTCCTACTTCGGCAGCGCAAACACGTCCCCCTTCGAGCAGTCTCTCGACTACATCCCCGACGACATGGACTTCCTCCAAGACTCCAGCTCCATGCCCGTCTGGCCCCTCTCCTCCACCACCGCCTCCCCGCTCCCCACGAGCACCACCTCCCCGACCTCTCCGGACGCCGCCGACCACCCCTACCGCTGCACCACCGACAACTGCACAAAGACCTTCCGCAAGGAGGCCCAGCTCAAGCAGCACCAGCGCGTCCACCGCAAGTCGCTCGTCTGCACCATTTGCCGCGCCGAGCGCCACACGGAGCACAAGTTCGCCCAGGTCCGCGACCTCGAGCGGCACCTGCAGGCGCGGCACCCCGAGGTCGCGCAGACCGCCAACGTGCGCTCCGAGATCCGCGAGTGTCCGCACCCCGGCTGCGACCACCGCGGGCGCAGGGACAACGTGTCGAGGCACCACGAGAGCAAGCACGGCAAGAAGCTCAAGTGGAAGAGGGGCGTTCCCCACGTGGTGGGTTAAAAGGAGGGTCCTTTTCTCTCTGATGGGTAATGAGAAAACACAAAAGAGCGATGTGAGTTTCTGGCGTTTATTGATGATACCTGCATTTGTTTTGATTTTATGACCGGTTCGGTTTGGGATATCTCGGTAGCATAGTGCATTTAGACCAATACATCTCAAAATAACTGCTGGGTCCCGTGGGTGAATTCGAGGCTGAGCCGAGGTTGCTCGCCATGACGAAAGGTTGTACCGTAGAGTCTGAAGTCGTCAGCCATCACGCCATGGAAACGGAAGTCTTGACAACGACTGAGTTACTGTGACATATTGGCAATCAACGGTTGGGCCATGATTCAGTGTTGATAGGGACTTCCCCCTTTTCGAGACGGGACGAGTTTCTTCCTCCCCATAGCCTGCTTGTTCGTAAATTTCATTCCGTTCTTTGCACAACCAGCTCATACCAGACCTCGCCCAATCACAACTCAAACACCAGCCCCCAACTCAGTGCCGCCGCCACCTTCAGGGGTATGACGAGTTGCGGCATTCACTGCGAGGTGCGAGACGAGAGGGCGTTACCGCAGATGACTAGCCAACCTGCGTGGTTCTGGTAACTTAACCAAGATTCTGTCATATCAGCATCCCCATGATACAGGAGCAGTTAATATGATCTGTGCGCTGAAGACCTCTTTTCAGGAACCTTGAGGACTGGCGACGGCCGGAATTTCTTCGGATTAGGGTTGCGAAAATTTCGACTACAAGCCCCTTCTGGTCTACCTCCATGGCTGTAGATGGCTGGAGAAAGGTCACCTCGCCGCCACCAAGAAAAAGTTTTCCGTACCTGATCCGGAGACAAATGTGCCCCTGAGATACAAGTCCGTCAATGTCCGCTGCAGATGGTGCCTGGCCACATTGTGGAATACAGTTTACGGCTCCTGAACGGACCGTGAGCGGTTCCTGACAAAGTACTACCAAACCAGGTTAGCCAGAATTTTCGGGCGTTGGATATCTCTGGATTTGGGAGTAAATGACCAACCTGGCAGTCTAGTAGATGGCCTTCAGCCACATTGTGGGATACAGTTTACGACCCCTGGACGGCCCCTGAGAAATTGAAGCAAAGCTAATCCCCATGAGTTGACAACTCTGCCCAGCTGTTCAGTAAGTGAGAATAGCATCTGATCCGTAGTCCAGTTTGTTTTGCGAATGGGCCTTTCAGCGTCTACTCAACTCCTTCAGTGTGCCTCTGTTGCATCTCTTGAAAGTCCCAGCTCTTTGCAGTGCTGTCTTAAATCCTGTTCTATCAAGTGGTAGAGAGACCACTTCCGTGCTTCCGCTTTCTTGTCAAACCGTCCACAACCACACCTTTTCAGAGACTTTGCAACTTTGTATGATGGCGTTACTGACCTTGCCACCTGGCATGAAGTTTCGGGAGCTCTCAAGTCTGCCAAGTGGCACAATGTCCCACCTCTTCGACTTGAGAACTCTGCAACATGACCAATCCTCCTCGCTTTGACTTCAACTACGGGCTTCAATTGCAACTCTGCATAGATGTTTGACTTCACACGCAAGGTGGTGTATCATATATGGACTCTTCATGCTTCGTAATGGTATACGGATGGGTCTGAAAGGTGAGGAGGAGAGAGGTTGCGGCGAGCCTTCAGAATCCCTTTAAAATGCGTGCCTCGCTCCCTCGTCCCGGGCTTTCTTTCTTTCCTTCCGTGTCTCACTTCGTTGAATCGTACTCTCGTCTTACTTCTTCACGTCGCTATTTCACAAATCGCTGTTCATCTCGCCACTCACTACTTTACTCTTCACTCTGATTACTCCACTTTATTACATCCTCCAACTATATTTTGTTCGGCTCCTTAGTCGTTCAACTTTACTATCGTTCGGCTCCTCAGTCGTTCACCTTAACTATCGTTCGGCTCCTTAGTCGTTCGCTATCACTACCGTTCGGCTCCTAAGTCGTTCAGCGTCAGTAACTATAGTCCGGCATTATCATCGTCCGGTCCCTTTACCACTACACCATATCAGCTCGCATCATGTCTTCTACCACCATGATCGCCAACCGTACCTCCATCATCCCCGCCAACGGCTCCGTCGTCCGCCACAAGTTAGGCGTAGACATGACCATCACAGCCGGCGGAGAGGTTACCGGTTTCGAGCTCACAGACGCTACCAACAAGACCCTTATTTGGACTGGCTGCGCCAGCACGGTCAAGATTAGTTGGGACAATTATGGAGTAAAAGACGTCGCAAACCAATATCGGGAGCTTCTCAGCCACCTGCAGACGTTCGGGAAAGTGTCTCATTACACTCGCCCAGAAGAGCATGACTTGCACCTTACCGTCAAGATCACCCTCGAGAACAGCGACCAAGCCGCGATGGCAGTCAAAAACCTCGCGCACCAACATTCGGAGTACTTCCGTTGTGCTCAGGCCTTCGAGGCCCGTATTGGAGTACCCTACGACCAGATGAGTACGATCTCTAAGAAATTCAACGAACTTCATGTCCTCGCCCTCCGCGACAGAGTGACCACCGAGGTCCAGCGATCAGAGACCATGGCCAACATCACCGTTACCGGCTACAACAGGCTGGCTGTGACCAACATGAAGAGACAGCTTGAGGAGCTCATTAAGCAAAGCACCCTCCTCGACACCACTACCATTCGCGCTCCCGAGATCCAGTCAGAACGTACTTGCATGGCCTGCTTTGACGTCCTCAAACGGCCCGTTCTGCCATCTTGCGGACATCGATCAATCTTCTGCGCCGAGTGCCTGCTCGAGACATACAGAGCCAACCACAAGAAGGGGCCTCTCCGCTGCACCGAGCAGAACGACAACGGAGAGTTATGCAGCCAGCCAATCGACCTCGAGTGTCTCGCCAACAAACTACCTCCCGCACTCTTTGAGGATTTTCTCGACCTGGCCGCCAACGCCTTCGTGGCACGCAACCCTAGTCTTGTACGCCACTGCCCCACCCCAGGGTGTCGACAAGTATACCAGCCAACAACTAAGACCGAAGACTCCATGGGCACACCAAAGACATGCCCGGATTGTCTGGTGCGTCTCTGCACCACGTGCGGCCATCGACATGACAACGACACTCCCTGCGAGTCGATGATAGACACAGATCTCGAACAGGCCAAAAAAGACCTTGAGGCCCGAGATTGCCCCGGATGCTCAACTCCGATCGTCAGATATGAGGGTTGTAACAAGGTTGAGTGCCCAGGATGCGGTACTTTCATCTGTTGGTCATGCATGAAAACATACACCACCGCCCTTGCAGCCTACAACCATATGGTAAAGGATCACGGCACCGTCGGCGAGGGATATATTGCCTTCGACGACAACGGCGATCCCATCCTGCCTGAAGATGAGCGAATTGAGAACGAGCTTGCAGAACTCCAACTCCCCACCGACGAAAAAGATCTCGAGCCCGCACAAGATGACGGAAGGGATAGGGATGAGGGACATATGGAGGAGCGCGTCGAGCAACAACTACAACAACAACAACAACCGACCACTCAGGATCTTCCCGTCGGCCAAAGCTGGTGGTAGATGCGAGGGGGACAGGAGAGGGGGACAGGAGAGGGGGACAGGGAGGACGATAGAGAGGACGGCAGGAAGGAAGGGCGCCGGTTATCCAGTGGGGTGTATCACATAATGGGTACATAACACATATCTACCCACATCTACACACATTGACAAGCATCATCATATCATATTGCATAGGTTGGGGGACGTTTGTTAGGCTGTGGCGGCTGTGGTTTGTATTGTTTGGCCGAAAAGAAAAAAACATGAAAAGAAAGTAAGTAAAGCCCGAAGTGAAAAAAAGAAAAAGCCTTGTTAGAGGGGGGATGGGTGTGAGAGACTACCAGAGCCCTGGCCTACGTAGCTCTCGATTGCGGCGGCCGGACGCTCTGTGGCATCGTCAGGAGTCGATTGCTTCCCGTCAGAATCGTCATTGTTGTAGTAAGGTGGTAGTTATCCGCGGCGTTGTCCAGCTTTGGTTGTTGTGGTTGAGGTTGTAGTTGTTTATTTGCGCGCACCTCCATCCTTCCCTCCCCGCGATCTCGGCTGTCATCTTGTGTGGGCTCGAGTCGCATTTCGTATTCCTCATATTGATTTTTGACGCCATCGCTCCAATGACGAACCTTTGAACTTCCCTCTTGACCATGTAATTCCTTTGCGTGAAGTTGCATGTAAATATTGCATACTAAGCCTTCGTCAGACATGCAAAACCGTGGGATGTTACAGGTCTGGCACGATCGCAGCCCGTCCAACTTCGAACTCTGATCTGAGCCTTGAGTGTAGCTTCTTGGCGCTTTAATCAGACCAATTGTTGGTGAAGAATCTAACGGCGCAAGGTGCAAATCAATGATGGCCAAGCAACCCGGAGGATAAAAGCCCAAGAGGTTCCTATATAGAAGACCAATGAAACGCGGCTGTGACGTCTAGCTTTTTAAAAATATCGCACCTCCGCCTCACGTGCCTCTTGTTTTCAAGCCCTGTATGTTTTCCAGGTAACGTGCCGCGTTTTTGGTCCAGCACTCAGGGTTGCAGAGGGGAAAGGCTCTGTTGTTATTCTCAGCCTATCCACCTCTGTTCAGGTAATTGCTGTACTCAGCATGTTCAAACTCCTTTTGTCTCGAGTCAGAGACATGGTACACACGTACGACACCCCTCGTGGGAATAACACCTTGTCTCCAAATGAATCGTCTCTGGAGAACGGTCAACTATGCCGGGATTGTCGTTGGGGGCGATGCGCCAAAGGTGATGACTGCGAGTTCAGTCATGACAAGAGCCTGTTCAAGAAGACTGCCATGAACCTCTGCACGTTTTTCTCGAGAGGGTTCTGTCGCGTTGGGGAGCAGTGCAATATCCCACACGTTGACGTGCCGTCGGACCAATTCGCACGTGTTCGGCCTACGAAGGCGCGTTGTCGCAGGGGAAGTGAATGCCGCCTTCCCCATGGGGACCCAGAAGAGGACACTGTGAGTATCACACTACATTTCGGTTGCATCA